GCAGGAAACCTGCTGAGTACAGCAGAGGCCCAGGGTATCCTTGCATATCTCACTTCCACCCCTGCCACTAGCACTGACTCATGGGCTGGGTGGGGTGAGTCCCATCTCTGCTCTGCACCTCCTGGCGTGATCAGGGCATACCTGGCTGGACAGCTCTGCTGGCTTATTTAGTTATTGCCAGACGTGATTTTGGGACTACTGAAGCGGATGGGTGATGTTTGTTGGCTTTCACAGGTTCTGATGTTCATCCCTGCAGAATATATCAGGAGTCACAGATCAAAGGCCCAGGGTGCTACTAGAAGCTACACTGCATTTGTAAGCTGAGTTTTCAGTATGCTCATGGATTGCACATGAGGGTATCAGTTGAGTTAGAGCAATGTCTACTTCATTGAAGCACCAAAGGCTTGCCATGTGTTAGCCAACCAGAAATACCATGACTTAGACAGAGATTCCCTTACCTTCTACACAGGCTGTACCAAAGAGGGTTACAACAGGTGCCTACCAAGATTTGTTTGCCCCAATGGTTCAGAGCTCTCTGGTTTCTATTAGTTTATTTTCAAATCTATGTCTGTCTATATTAATGTCAGGTTCTAAAAGTAAGCAGCACTGTTAACATTGAATTTGAATTATCTACTGGGTATCTAAAAAGATAAGCTGGGGTGGGAAACCCCTCTGCGAGCAGAAGTACAATCTCGTCACACGAGCGAAGTTTATCAGAAAAAATGAGTAATCAAGACTGTCTCATTTTGCTAATTTTACTTTATAAATTATCTGATTTGACATTCTGTGCTGAAAATCTGCTTATGAACCAAGAAGAGCAAGGGGCGTACTTCACTTGGTTGAAGCAGAATGCATGGCCACAAAAAATTTTGCTGCAGTAGTACTGCAGTATGAAAACCCCTGCCACCAAAAACGAAGACTCTAGTAGTTGTTTCTAGAGCACCATGTATCTAGAAATAGCTGGGTATGCTGAGCTTCAGGTTTGAGTCTATGCAGAGCCTCCTGGCTAGCTGCAGTCACATCAGAACTGCAGTAATGTCACTTCACAGGTGTCACTCACGCAAAGAAGTGAGAAACAAAGTTGTCCTCTCTGCTACCTGCACCCTAAGCCCACTTCAAGAATGAAGGAAAAGGCAATTCTCAATCCTTAACTTAATGCATGATACTATAGCATGAGCTATATTGAGACATTAGCCCGTTTTATTTAGGCGCTTTTGCCTGGGTCTCCAATGAACTTTTAATACCAGCTATTTCAGAAGAGAGAGGCAAAGGGGTGCCAAAATAGGCTATAAAACTAAGCATGTGTCAATAGCATCTGTTACAAATAAGGCTGGATTCCACTTTCCATTGTTTTATTCCTTTTTCCTCGAGTTGTTTAAATTTTCCAATTCAAAAGGAATTTGGCTGAAGATCTGCCTTACTTGGTCTGGACTTCAAGGAGGGCTGCTTACAGAGGAGCTGTACAAAATCTATTACAAGACTTTAACACTGAGGGCATGAGAGAAAAGAAACACAAACTTCATCTTGGATGTTCAGAGTAGAAGAAACCAGGTGCAGTAAAGGAGCCTGAGTTCCCCTGCCTGATCCCCAAAATAAACCACAGCAGATCTGCTAGTGCTGCTACTCCAAAAGCAGCAAGTTCCATGCAATGATAAACATGGCAAACAGTGTCATTTAAGTTAATCACTAACACACATCATTTTAAAGGACTTCAAGGGTGCATTGATGACTCTCCAAATGAAAGTCCCTTGGGCTGTCAAGTAATACTGAAAGAAGTATGCACCTTACAAGATAAAACACCTTGTTCTGAACTAAATACACCATTTCAGACATGCTCTTTTAGTATTTTCATTAAAGACAAGCTCCAAAGCTCAAACAGCACAAAAAGAAAGGGAGCTGAATCACACAAATCTCTGTAACCTATGGCAGCACTACATAAAAACAGAACTTAAAACCAGGTGAAGTCAGAAATGGCTATCAAGTTCCTTAATGAAACTGTGTTCCTTGTTATTCCCAGTTTTCCCTTTTATCCCATGCCAAAAAAGCTCTCGTAGGTACTGCAACATCAAGAAAGCTGTCAACCACACTAAGCCAAAATACGCTTAATGTGCATCAGCTTATGAAAAATTACTTTTGCCTGTAATTAACCATCTACCTTGTTTTTTTTTTATGCCTTCCTTTAACAATGGTAGAAGAAACAATGGCACGTGTTAACATGGCAGAAGCAGTCTTAACTCTGCAAGTATCCTAATGTTTGTACGCTTAGTGCTGACACCTAACACAGAACAGGAAAACTGCTAACGAGTTTCATGTATTCTGATGAGGTTCAGGATCTTTTCCCTCTAATTTTTAGAGATATTGTAAACTGAGAAGAGCAAAATAGCAGTATGTTTATAGTGTGTAAGACACGTAAACCCCCTCATTAGTAGCGAGTCCAGACATCCCATTTGGACACAAACATCAGTATTTGCACCTGTTACTATAATCACTATGTATCAATTAATATTCTCAGGAAAACTATAACACTTCAAGGCTATTTTAGAAGTACAGGTCCAAAGAAGTAGGCTAGAGTTGACTCAAATATGTTCTGGCAGCAAGTCTGGAAGTATAAATCCCCTGTAAAGCATTGTCTCTGATGACTGTGTATGACCATGGCAGAAGATTCTTGATGTTTCCTTCTTCACAAGGCCAAAAGCAAATCTAGGAAATTGCAATCTACCTTCTCTTGGATAGGAACCAGAAATGACTATCACTACATTTGAACTTAAAAAGGAGTTAAATTTGTGAATATTTTTATTTCCCAGGGCCTTTGCTTAGCCCAGTGTGAGACGCTGGCAGGTGAAGGACTTCCTGCACATCATTTGGTGGGCTCAACTCCATGAAATTCTCCCATCATAATAATTCTTTTTAAAATATTAATCACCATTACACCTTCCTTTATATCAATAATTTTTTTTTTTTTCTGAACATACATAACAGTGTTTTTAACTAAAGCAGAATCAGAACAGGCAATACCTAAGTTTAACTTTTTCTCAGCTCCATATTCAGTGTTATGTTGGTTTTTATGGCTCTTACCCTATCTGCATCTCTCTACTTTCTAATACAGCCACAGCCACATTCTATTAATTCAGAAATGTTTCCTTAGTTCTGGATGGCAAAAGGCTGCCTGGGTAGAAAGCAAAACCAGTCTCACCTTCATCATAAAGTACCCTCTCCTCAACAGAGCTGCAATAACTTTGGGAAAGATTGGGAGACTGAACCTACTTTTACAAGTCAGCAGTCACACATTATCACTGCAGCCAAAAGTATGCCTGCAAAGCTCTGACAGCACAGATTTCTCCTTTATTCTCTGCTGCCATACAGAGAAATTCAACTGGTTGGAGTTCTGTGCCTTTTTATACAACTAGAAGATGCAAGGGGTTTAGCCCACAGACTACGACTTCCCTGATCATCAACACACTGGCACATCTGCATAACATTTAAAAATCTTCTGAGCAAGTGGTCTTACATTTAATCATACACTTGAAATTCAGCACATGCATGAAACTTTGCAAGACTATGGTTCTTTTGATACTTTTAAACTCTTCAAGTGGCTTTTTGAAAGCTATAGGAAGGTGTTTAACTTCCACAATGATGTACTATGAGCACATTTCATAAATATATTTTCTGAAGAGTATCAATCTAAAAAGAAGTACTTTGTGGGTAAGAAGGCCTAGGATTTCTTCATTGTTTTACGCTACTTATTATTTGATCTATTTCACCGAGTTAACACCCACACATGCAATGAATTTTTTCCTATTTTTGTTCCTATCGTTTTACCAGGGGATTTAAGTATTTTGTCCATGTCTCCCCCCATTACACTGATACAGCATTTACTTTTTATTACTACTTTGCCTACCTCCTGAACTACTCATTACTGTATTCTGAACATTTATCTTGAATAGTCACAGGAGAATGCTTCAACATCTTCAGAGGCTGAATAACTCACCACAGTATATTATGGCTGAATTTTCCTACAAGGCTTTACTTACTTTAAGGAAGATACATTTTACAGCCTTATTACTTCCTAAATTTTTCTCTTAAATGAGAAATAAAGCTGTCTAGGTTTTTATTTTTTTTCATTCAGTGTAAATTTTTTTTTCCAGACTGCATTGATTTTAGATGTTTCTACAGGTTCAAAGTTCATGTCAAAATTCATTTTATCTTGTGCTGTTTTCAACATTTACCTTTGGTTTAAATGTCAGAGCCTTTCCCTTCTGTTACTTTGATTTCTCTGCTGCCTCTCTTTTCTCTGCAAGCCCTAACTGATTGCATATCTTCGTGTGGTCTCCCCATTTTTTTCCACTTCCAACAGTATTTTTTAAACCTCGTATCTTTGAACAGGTTTTCTTTGCTTAGTTTTTTTTTTTTTTATTTCCTTCTTCACTGACCACTTTTTTTTTGTAAACTTCTTCTCAGAGGAACTGGAGTCTGCTGTACATAGAACTATGAAGTCTCAGCAGTCCCAACTCACCTTCCACACAAAGGATTCCAATACACACTCTTGTGACATGATGCTCCCTGACTTCCTTAATTCCACCAAATGGATTTATTGAAATACAGTGCTCTGACTTGACTGTGAGGAGTTACTTCATATCAGGTTGAAATAAAGTAATATTTTGATCCCTTACATATTGTCTTATTTGCTGTTAATGACACATTCTGTAGTGTTACTTCAGAAAGGCAACTAAACACAAACACCTGACTTCAGGTTGACCTCAGGTTTTAAAGACAAGCAACAAGCTATTGTAACTGTTGTAACAAAAGAGGAATAAGTGACTGATGTTACAATAAACAGATGCCTGAATACATTCAGCACAGATGATAAAATATGTTTTCAGTATTTAGGAACATGTTTGATGGCAAGTGTAGAAAATGTAGACTGGTAAAATTCATAAGGAGATCACATTTCTTGGAAAGTTAGGAATTCAAGAAAGGGTTGTGACAATATTTCTTACTATTTTTATTATTTTGAAGTGAAATCCTTTACAGACTGAGCTAACTGGATGACTATTTCAGTTAATACCAGCAACTGAGACTACGACCAGCTTACAATGGATGTTTAACAAAATAACATTGCTCCAGGTGTTTAACAGTTCTTCCTGAAAGCCAATAATGACATATATTTGAAGTTACAAACTTCTACCCAACATGCTATTACTACTACTAACAGTTATATTTTTTTAGAAGTAAATACATGGGCATCAAACTGTTTCTTCAGGATTTCATCATACAGGAACTATACGTTGCATTTTTAAAGCATGTAACTAAACTGGCGAAAGAAAACAGCTGATGTTAAATTGTTTGAAAACTCTGCACTGTTTCTGAAGAGTCCCACTCAAGATGGCTATAAATACAGAAAGAACATGTTATTACTTCATGATTCACTTGCAAGTCTCGATTTCAGTTATAAAATTAAACCCAGTCCTCACTCCCCCAAAAAACAAACAAACAAACCACTTTCTATTAGTTGCTATCTTCATAATAACATACATAAAGTTATAACAAGTCCCAAAATGAAAGTGAGTGTCAAATCCTCCCTGTGGGGAAAACAGTTCTTGATCTTTGTGTAAGTATATTTTAATGGCAGCAAAATTGTTCTTTCCTCCTGAAGCCCTGCTCTTCTCCACACAAAATCAGTAACTGGTGGCAAAAAGAGGACTAGCAAGAGGGAAGTGGAAGACAGTGGAAGTAAGCCTGTAAGAAAAAGAAAAGACAAGAAGAGCTAAAAGGAAGCAGCAAAACCAGTGAAATATCGTGCTCCTCCTTGCTTCTGACTATGTGAGAGGCTATTAAAACTATTCTGCTCCTTAACACCAAAGAATACATTCTACACTAATATGTTACGAACTTGGAGCGCTTTTCTGTTAATTGCCAGTTTATTTCAAATGTGAAGGTTATTATCAGTATTCCAATAGAAGGGAGAAACAGGAAAGGCAGGAACATGTTTGTTTTAAAAAGAAGCAAGAAAATAAAAGCCTCCCAAGAAATCAGACTTATGCCCACTAAAACTGTAGACAGTAATAGAAAAAAGTGATAATTTTAAATGCAAAAGAGGCAGTGCCCTTCTCCGTATTGTATATGAACACTTACTCGTCAGCTGCATGTAATAATTTCTATTACATACTTCTCAATAGCTTATAAAGGCTGAGTCTTGCAGTCATATCAGTATCACTCTACATCTAGAAAGTAACAGATTGATACACTGAACAACATGAGTAATACTAAAATTTAAGGTGATACTTAAGTATGTTTCAATGTATTTTTAACAACTGAAACTGAGATTGCAGCACACCAATGAACATTTCTTCATGAACATACAGCTAAGACGAGTACATGTAAACAAAATTGGCTTAATAACCTCCACAGAATGAAATTCAGTAGACAGAAAACCACTTTATCAATATATTCATGTCCAGAAGTCTCACTGAGGAGGATACCCAATGCCATTACTCATGGTTGTATCTTCAATTTCCTTTCCAGTGAAATTCCTTTTGTTTTCTTCAGAGTCTTCAAAGGGATTGAAGAAGTACAGACATTTAAGCACAATAACTTTTTGAGTTGCCTGCATTGTTGTCTATGTTTTCATCATTGCTGAAGAAGAAGCTTGAAAACAGGTCAGCTGCAAGTGCATGCTGCTTTTAAATTTGTTTAGCAACTCTTCTAAGAACCTGTAAAAGGAAAATAGTTACAACTTCAGCAGATACTGAAAACGATTACCCCAAATTCTGGCTATTCTGTCTGTGACTTCAAGTACACCATTGGCTTAAATAAAGGACCTAGTATTGAATCTATTAAAATCTCTGAATATTACATTTAGAAGTATACCAAGTGTGTCAGGATGATCTGTGGTCACATGGGACTTAGCCACAGAGATTTTATCAAGGCAATAAAATAGCCCTTTATATGGCTTTCCTTCCAGATAAAGATTGTCTTTTTGAGAGAAACATACCTGCAAAAGACAGTGGCAAAAGGACTGGCAAAGAGTGTCTAAGACAATTCTGTAAGGCAAATCCAGAAACTGCCAGAGTTGGGAGTTGGACTAGATGACCTCTGAAGGTCTCTTCCAAACCAAACTATTCTATGATTCTATATACCATAAAACCAAGTACCCCTCATCAAGGTTATGGCTTTCTGTGTGTAGCTGAACTGCAGATTTCAGTTCTCAAACTTGTCTTTGGAAGTTATTTTGCAAGTTTCTCTTCAGTATCATGGCTGAAAGATCAAAGATAGTATGGCTGTTCCAGAAGCATTAATCCACTGGCAACCATGTGTTTTTGTTCTTTATAGATTACAAACTATGCATGACTTCTTTCTGGAGCATAACAATGGTTTGTTTACATCTATATAGCTGCCAAGAAGGTACTTGGTGCAGTGGATAAGATCCATAAGCTCCAGGTGTAGGACTAAAGATGTTGATGGCTCTGTTGTGTTGTATTTTAACAGTGGAGCTGCACTGTGTGAAGTTCTACAGTCTTGCCTCTGTGTTTTATATTCCCTGTACTCTAGGGAAGAATGAGTTCTCTGAACTTTTGCTCTGTTTCAAAACCAAGCTAGATAGGGCAGACCTGTATTACCTGAACTTTTTGGCAAGCTGTGAATATTGAACAACCAGTAACAGAATAAATTATACTGCATGTTAAAAAACCCCATCCAAACCAAAACCAAAACCCAACAAACCAAAAACCCTCCCACCAAACAAACCCAAGAACAACTTGAACCACAAAAATCAGTTATCTGCTTCCTCAGTAGGTCCTCTGGAAGATGACTATGGCCACATTCATCACTTAGTATCATAGTAATGACTGTGAAAAGAACTGCTCTAAATCAGTGCACAAATCTGTGTTATTTTACACAAATACTTGTAGATTACAATGAGCTGCCTGGAACAATGACAACTGTGGTGTAACAACCTGGGAAACAGAACATGTTTTAGACTGTCTAGGGCTCAGAACTCTGAGGCAGACATAAAAATGATACAGTTCTTGGTTCTCATCTGTCCCATAAAGTGCAAATACTTGTGACTAAGTGAAAAAACAAACAAGCAAACAAACAATTCTGCAGGTGGTGTGGAAAGTCTGAGTTTAAAGAACTCTCCTTACTCAAAACTGATTCCTATCTTAAAACAAGTGTTAAGAGCCAAGTAAGGCAAGGAATTATCTTGAGACTTGCTGTGGCTAGTGAGGAGTAGGTCTGAATTAACATACGGGACATCTGGAAGAAGGCACAGACCACAGGCTGCACAGTCTCTTCATGTGTCTACAGAACGAATTCTGACTGTTAAGTGCAAATTGATTTGATGCAGTTTAGTTTCTGAAATTACCATAATACCAACCTCAAGTTCAAAAAAACTACAATAATATACATTACAATGCAATCCATCCTAGTTTTACCATACTACCCTTTATTAAGCTGTGCTTGTAAAACAGACCTGATGCAGCAAAGCAGCTTGGTTGTCAAAGTTTGCTACAGTGGGGAAGGAAGAACCCAAAACTTCTCCTCCTCATGTTAAAAAATCTCAGAACCTTCTTATTTGTTTTTAAAATGAAACACACCAGTTTTGACAGCTCCCCATACACCAGCTGGCAAAAAGCTCAAACTTTGTTTGTTGGCCATTTTATTGCTTCCGAAATTCAGTAAGACGAGACAACGGACCTCACAGAAACTTTAAGATTAACAAGGAAGGCTTAAATAGACGGAAATTACAAAATAAATACAAAGCTACATTGAACTGATAAGACTAGGATGGGCAAAAGGGATATGCCACAAAGCCATTGGCTCCTCCATGTAATTTAATTGGCCATGATAAACAAGAACTTGGCTTATTCGTAACTCTTTCCAAACAGGCTTCTGCTCTGTAATTCAGAAGGTTCAAGTACAGTGAATGTTAACCCTCTTACAACAAAGTTCTGATACAAGACTAAAAAGCAGTATCTCCAGAGACCAGAAAGAAGACAAGAAGGTATATTATACTCACTTCTTGTCAGTTCCACTTGAGAGCTGAGGCAAGGCTTCCAAAGCTTGCTTAAAGCTTGAGCTGCAAGGAGAACAAAAATACTCTTATGGCACTGCTACAAGGCACAGCATTCACAATTTCTCTCTATAAATTGTGGAGATATGCTGTATTTTATAAATTCTTATTTCAATGAATTAACACAATATTAACTTGAAATCTGACATTCATGTGCAAATTGAACATAAAGTGGTCATGGGTTCAAGCAGGTTTCTTGGCACTCCTAATGTGATTTATAGCGTACATCAACAGGAAATGTTAAATCAACATCTGATCTGAAACTGTGCTTGACATCATGTATTCTTTGAGAATTACAGATAAAAAGTAGGGCTAACTTCAAGGTTAAGGGTTTCTTGGGGCATTATCCAGTCAAGTTTTGAGTAACTCCAAAGATGGGGTTTCCATCCCTCTCTGGGCAACAGAGGTGGAAGTGAAGTGCAGGGAACAACACAGGACCTTCACATATAGGTATAATCTCGTCAGCAAAAGATTTATGTGGTGAACTGTGACAACTCTAGTAGTGACAAGTCCAGGGATAAAAAGGCATCTATGAAGTTTCAGCTTCCAGGGTTCACTGTGAATTATGCCATGCCAATTAGAGACAATGCCACTTCCATTTTGTCCAATTGGAGCCAGTGCCAAATAGTTATCATTTAGAGGTCTTCATTACTCTCAGACACTTAAGATAAGGAAGCAAGTCTTTTGAAACGTAATGCAGTGACACCACAGGATGCTACTGGTTAACACTATCAAAACACATTAGGCCTTCAAATCTTGCAATATTTCCTATAAAATGTTGATTAAGTAAGATGACCAAATTGCCATCTGTAGCAACATTTAATGCAAATCCTAACAGATGTGTAAGTAATTCAAATATGTTAATGAACCTGCCCATATAATCCCCAACATAATCACAAAGAAATTTCAGTCAATCAACTTTACTCAAAACTGCTGAGAGCTATCATAGCCTGGTTTCACATGCCTTGACTGCATCAACTACTGCTGCAGCTAATGCTTGCCCTAGTTCTCCTGCCAGTGTCTGGCAGCTTCTTTGCTGTGAACTTTACGAGATTGCTGTGAAAAACTTGATAAAACCCAGCGACATTTGCTTTTGTCTTGTTTTAGCATCACTTTCCTCAGCAGCTGTACTGCCATTAAGATGTTTTACTTTCCTGAGTGGCGAACTCCAGCTTGTGTCTAAAAACTCAAGTAAAAAACAAATATAAAAGTAATTTTCTTTCAACTGATAAAACCTTGCTAGTAATCTGGTTTTCATATATTTACCTAGTACATTACATATTCTATTTGAAGCACATTTCTTAATCTTCAATTTACATTATGAGCTTTTCCATGTTTACCAAGAATTCAATTACTTTGAAAAGCAGACATTACAGCACATCTTACTTGCTTTCAGGCGTTAGGTATATGGCCACGGTATCTCTCAAAGCACAGATTTCAAGTCTTGCCTAAAGAGAAAAATACAAATATTGAAACAAAGACAGTGTCCTTGCATCAAGTGAATACAAGTATCCCAAAGCTTCATCGTTTGTAGAGGCAAATATTATTGCAGGCTGCAGTTGTAAGGAGCCTTGGCTTTTAAGAGTTTGTTTCCTGTATTCTTCTTTGCCATGATGCTGTATCAGCAGATTGCTAAAGGGAACTCTTTCATACTTCTGATTCAAGTCAAACTGTTTGTACGGTCACTATGTAGTAGTCTGTAAACATTGGTTTGTCTGTTAGTAACAGTAATAAATCTTCAGTTCTGTTCCATCTTTTCTGTTCTGGATAAAAAGACAGAAGGAGGCAACCTTAAATTGTCTGCCTGGTGGTTTTTGGTTGGTTTTTTTTGGTTGTTGTATTTTTATTTTTTTTTACATTTAAACAGTGAGCTTAACTTCTCACAGCACAGCTTGGCTGGGGAGGAGAGAAACCCAAGAGTATAAAAATCTGACAATATACATTTTATTCTTGGTTTTCCTGTTGAATTTATTCCCCCCCCCCATCAAATGAGGAAGTAGAATGGCTGTGCTTTGTTTCTTGTCTGTCGCCTGGTAGGCACACAAGCTTGAGGATTTTAGTCCCACACTGTACTGCGTGTCTAGGTATTAATTTTCACCTAGGCAAACTATGGTGGAGAATGAACTCAAATACTAAACAAGTTTCACAGATGGTCCATTAGTCTTTAAAAAGCTATCATCACAGATTTTATACGAAATAAAAACATTCTGCATGTGATCAATACTTTCAGAAATTTCATTTAAAAATACAAAATGAACTTCATCCAAGTTCATATTCTGCTCTTGTTCATCACATAGATAAAATATAATTCAGTTAGCTATTACAGAAACATCTAGACCCATCTAATATGACATCAAGCTTCCAAAACAAAGCACTTTATAATGCAACACAGACATCTAATTCCACTTCTAATGAAAGGCTTTTGATTTTAGGTCCTCCCCTCTCCCCTAGGTAGGAAACCAGACGAGATTTATACTCTTTTAGCTCTAGAACTTTCTGGCACAAAATACAACATAGCCACACACCAATTTTATACTTATAAGCTATGCTTTTCTCACCACAAGATGTTTCACCTCGTTTTGTATGGTGCTCCAAATTGAACAGCCTTGGATTTTTTGAAGTCCTATACATAAGATTCTGGAGTCTTTCCTACATTTTAGGAGGTAGCAGTACTATGGGGAAGTGTCACTTTCTCAAGTACCACAGCCTAAATAAACATGGTGGTAGGACAAAACCTATAAAACTGTGGGTCATGGGAATACAGATTCATGCTCTTTTGGGGAATTGCTTTTTTTTGATCAGTCTGACCAGGCTTGGAGCACTCTCTCGCTGCTGCTTCTGCTAGGATTTTATATGTTTGGAGGAACAGAAAATGACCATGAGTGACTAATGTACAGACAGGTGAGAAAAATCCTTTCAGCGCTCAGTTTAGGCAGCAAGTTCATATAGTGGGCTCTCTAGCCAAACAGAAGTCATGTATGAGTGGCTTTGTTGCTATTCATTGATTTGTTTATAAATAGACAGTCAATCTTATTTGGCTGTGATCTTACATTAATTCTGTCCAATACAATTACTACCAGAAGATGGAAAATAAGGCTTGCAATTGGGAAATTATTTTCCCACCATAATGCAAGAATGCACTCATGTACAATGAAAATTGGGAGTTTGCTCTTCTTGCTCAAAGGGATTTCTTTTAAAAAGATTTTAAAAAGATCGTTTAAAAAGGGATTTCTTTTAAAAAGATTTTTTTCTTAGAGTCCTTTTAAACTTATCCAATAGCACTTACAGCTACCAATCTAACTGTAAATTAAGAATGCAGTGTAAGAGCATCTGTTCTACCCATGCAGCAACTAAGTGCTCATGTAGAAACAGTATAACACACAAGTTACCAGTTTTGCTGACTTGCAAGATCCTACTTCATCATATTTTCAAGATTTTAAAGTCTCAAAATATCACAAAATCATTTTTTCTCTAAAGTAATTTTCTGATGACAGGCCAAAGACAGTATTTAATGACACTTCAAACAGATACCTCTACAATGCTTTTTATCTCATAGGATATATAGGCAAACTTTTACGCATTCAGACACAAAATCAACACTAAAATACAGTCAAACTTAAGAACCATTATAATCTGAATGGATATTTAGCCATAAATCTGGAATAGGTTGTATACTAATCCTTTTTATCTCCTTGCTTTCACTGCTGCAGTAAATTTAACAAATACACAGATTGTATATCTCTCTGTTATTCTATTTTCTAGATTCAGATGTTTGCCAGTACAGAATATTCAGGTACCTGTAAAGCTCCATTTTTGCTGAAGGATGAAACACACTGCATCAGTCGACTCAGTTCTTCAGAGACTGCTTCTACAACCCTTGACATTACTCGAGGAACCAAGTCTTTGGAAATTGTAAACACCTAATTTTTACAAAAGAATCATGAGCACAATAGCTATATTAACAGAAATATTTTCTACAGTAACATTTCAGTAAAAAGTGTTGAAAACTTTGATTGAAAGGACCACTTCATTTTTATCAATGGAAAAAAAAATTTCAGAAGCAACTGGAATACGAAGGATTTCTTTTGATACTTGCCTGCACTTTGACAATTCACCTGTCAATAGCTATATGATATGTGATAATGACAACTTTCTTACAATGTCTAAAAGCAACTAAACCTTAAAATATGTGCTCTTGTCTGGCGGATGCAGGTAGTTGGGTGGCTGTACACAGACTGCTGTTTTGCAGATAGCATCTTTAATTCAGGGTTGTGTGACTGACGGCAATTAGACACTCAGCCACATTTTTCCCCCATGTATTTTGCTCTTTCTTCTGGAATCCTTTATATTTGACCACTGTCAAATAACTGATGTCTGTTTGTTCTGTGGCAGATAAGCCTTTGAAAGGGTTTGAGACTACAGTGCTGTAATGGATTCTTCCATTGATGCCATTTATTATTTCCCTGGCAAAAAAATTACACCTGTTTTTTTTTCCATGCATCAAAGCCCGTATTTTTAACTGCTTATTTGTATACCTCTTTAAAGTGATACCTGTACCCTCCATCTGAGGTTCAGAATATCAATTGCAACACAACAGCAACAGAAAATTAAGCATTATATCTCTGCCTGATGCAAAGCATGAAAATGCTGATCTTCCTTAAAGGGAGCCTTAAGGAAGCGAAAAATTTATGGTGAAGAAAAAAAAAAAAAAAGGCATGCTTTTTCTACACAAAATTGGGGAAAATGCAGGCTGAGAGGTTGGAATATAGGAGGAAGTGAGATTATAGGTTAGACAGTCCAAACTTGTCTCAAGACTTAAAGGTGACAGTAAAGTTGCACAGGGCTGGGGCAGATTGGTGACACAAGGAACTGAAGTTGATGTGACTGGAATGGTGGAAGAAGGAAAACGAACCACATAGAATTTCTAACACACCCCAGCCCCCATTTCTGCTTTAAAATTATTTTAAAAATTAAGTAGTGGAATGCTTTTTTTGCTAGAATACCTTTGCTTTTCATGAAGTTTAGAGCTCCTGTGTGACGAGAAAATGCAGTAATTGACAGAAGATGTATTAATACATGTGTGTAAAAGTAAATGGGGGTGTGTGTGTGTGTTTGAATTTTAAAAACCCCAAGATTCCTATACAGGTTTCAGTGATTTAAGTAATGAATTATGTATCAGGAACCCCATAAAGCTGACTATTCCAAAAGGCAGGTCTGCACTGTAGGCTAAATACACTGACCACATATATCTATATGTGAGCTATGAGCTGCTAGCAACACCTAATTCAAACATAAAGTCTGTTGTAACTGTTTTGACTCACAAAAGCTAAGTGTCATACTTAGCTGCACAGTGAGAAAAAAAACCCACAAATCCAACCAGAAACAATTTTGGAAGGGGTCATCTTATTCAGCAGCAAATACTGCTGTGCAATTCAACACAAGCATACCAGGAACACACCCAAAAATCTACTGAGAAGAGAACACTGGTGCCCACAACGAGCACTCTTGAAGTTTTACTATACAGAATCCAGGAAAAAAAGTTCTCAGCAATGACGAATCGTCACAACTTTGCAATAAGAAGCCCTTATTTTGAGTTCAGTTAAATTTGAATTCAAAGGTACAGAAACAATTTTTTCCACTACAGTCCATGCTTGTTGTTCAGCTGATGGTTAATTTTTGCTGTTTCAAACTACAGAAACTTGCAGTCTTACTAACTAAATTTGAATCTGACCCAGCTTACAGAATTTCACCAGAAAACAGCGGAAACGGGAGCTTCGTTTTGACACACATTTTCATTTTTTTGCAGTATTTCACATCTAGAAATTTGAGGCAATGCTATTTGGGCCAAAATCAGCATCAGTCCCAGTGAAGTCAGTGAGGCAGTGCACCCTTCTGCTGAAGTATTTTAACAAGTATGCATGTTTACAGCATCAGCTCAGTAAGTCACAAATGTCTTTGAATTTTTTAAAGAAAAAAACCTCATTTTCATTTTAATTAATTTTCACTACACTGAAAGCCAACGTTAAAAACAAATGCCACACTGGTATATGTTTTTGGTGCTGCTTATGCCCTCATTTGGAAATATTCGATAAAATCAGCAGTGCTTCTGTGAAAACTGCTGTAAGTAAATATCGAAACTGAATAAAAACTATTGCAAACAATATTTAATTTTTCTGAAAATATTTTAATTTATATAAATCCTTATTGTTTAAGGAGGAATAAAATAAACTAAAACATCAAGTGAATCTCATCAGATTTTAATTAGATGGAAAAAGGAGAGCAGCTATACTTATGATATTTTGAAAGGTGAGAGTGTTTATCACTACCAATGCTTATACCAGGAGCAACAGTAATCTGGTAATGTGCTTGATGATTTGAAGGAGGGAGTATGTACAACAGAGGCTGTAATTTAAAGAACTACAGAAAATTCCTGCATATTATCACAAAGGGCCAAATAACTCCAGCTCTGCTAGCATATTATTTTAATAATAATATTTTAATATTCACTATCATAAGCCATTACCTACCTAAACATTTCAAACAGCATCTGTGATGTACAGAGACTGTAAGTCTCTGTGGTTTTAGGTTTCCACTTTTTATTCTGTGCACAAGAAAGACATACTGCCTTTTCACTCTTAAGTGGCATATGTTGAACATCTCTTCCAAAGCAAAGCACAAGCTCACTTTCCTGTGTTGTGGAAAATAGTTATTCAGAGAAAGTGCGCATCATTACTATCTATGTATCTTTCTCTTTATAAATTTATCTGTATAAAAAGGGAAGAACTGAGCTTTATACTTTAGCTTTCCTCTTCATCAGATGGTGGAAACAAAAAAGTGCAATGGAGTGTTAATGAGGATAAACAGGAACTGTTCATCTCCTTCTGCACTTAAAAATAGCAGTGGCATACTTGGTTGGCTAAACTTGACCCAAAAGCCCTTTTATCTACAATGAAGACACTGAAACAGCTACAATTTTCAGGGGTGATGAAAGCTGTATTTACCATACAAAGTACATTGAAATTATACATCTAAAGGTAAGCATGAAATGTGAAGTTTTTCTCACCTCTGCATGCACAGCAATGATATTCACTAATGCTTCTTTCAAATAGTTTCTGACACCTGAAACAAAGCAAACAAGATAATTACTTTCATTCTGTTGTCTCAAAGACATAATATTCTACGGTTCAATACTGTACTTTTTCTTTTCATTCTTTTATTAGCATTTTTGCAATCAGAGGCAGAAAGAGAAAGTTCTATAGCCACACCACCAGTCTATTTCCTTTTTAAAAATCAAATGGAGAAAGGCACATTTCCTTACAGCAAAAGGTTAAAAAAAGCCAGTAGGTTCCCGTTTCAGTATTCTTCTCTTGAAACCTAATTTCTTTAACTTTGCAATTTCATAAAAACCTGGAATTATGAAAAATAAATTCTGGATGTCTTGCTAGAATACACATAGTATTGCACAGGACATATACTACAGCTCCGTAAGTTCTAAAGAAACAGAAGACAAAGGCAAGGCATTTTGTTTGTACAACATTTTTCAAGATCTTACTCTTTTATCAGCTTCTCTGACTGTTACCTACTATAACAGACAGAAATTGCAAGGACATGTTTCTGTGAAAGTGGTTCAGAAGATATTACTCATGGCAGTTTATGGAAGATGTCATGCCTTTGCGGATATTTCCTCTTGGGGAGGATGGAGAAATGAAATAAGCATTTTATTTACCAAGCATATGAACTGCTTGTCAATTTATACTAAAAAGGGAATTCTAAACAGAAGCACATCCAGCAGGGTATGCTTTAGTGAGGATTGTCTCTTAATCCGCTATGCTTTTGTAATTCTGGACAAACTCCCCAGACCAGGACCCCAGTTGTGTAAGATTTAAAATAGGCAAAAATCTAAAATTGCCCCATTTGCTTTTCTGGGCACTTCACTTCATAAACAAAGGCAAATCAGAAATCATTTAACACATTAGAGCATGCATAAGTGTTGGAAGTGCAACACAACATAACGAGAGTGTTACTGATCCACATGACTTCAACTTCTGATTCCAGTTACTCTAGCATGAATCAGAGACAGCGCAATCACTTCCTTCGGTATACCTAATTGACAGTAAAAGATCGCAGTTCACAGAATCATAGAATAGTTTGGGTTGGAAGGGACGTTCAAAGGTCATTTAGCCCAATCCCCCTGCAATAAGCAGGGCCACCTTCAGCGAGATCAGGTTGCTCGAACTACATCGAGCCTGGCCTTGAGAATCTCCAGGGATGGTGCGCCTACCACTTCTCTAGCCAACCTGTGCCAGTGTCTTACCATCCTCATTTTAAAAAACCTGCTTTGTCTCGTTCAGCCTGAATCTCCCCTCTTTTAGTTTAAAACCATTACCGCTCATCCTATCACAACAGGCCCTGCTAGGCCTAAAGCTAGGCCTCTCCCTAGTCTGGGGAATTGTGGACAAAGACTGGTGAGACCACATAGCTCAGAGATCACAGTGTGATTAAGGCTGCTGTTACAAAAATTACAAAATGAACCTTCAGCTCATCTTACTTGCTCCACCTTTGCTCATATAACACCAATGCAGCGACTTAATCCTGTTATGAACAACAGCTTCAAAAGGAGTTACCAAAGACCATCAAAATGAGTTATTCTATGAGAGAATAGTGTTTCACAGCTGCCAATTCAGTTGTACTTATATATTTTTTTTAATCACTGGTTCCACAACTCACTTCAAGATCTAAAAGGAAATACTCATTCTTTCTAACTTAGGCAATTATGGACAAACTTTTTATAAAAAGAGTAGGACAAAAGGATCTCTCTGCATGAGCTTGAACACTTTCATCACCTGTGTCTACACTGTGCTATATGATGCAGCCTGGAGCTTAGACTGGAGGGTGTGTCCTAAAGGGCATTACGGGTCTCCTTTTGGAAGGAAGAGTGCTTTGTGGAAAGTGGAAGGAGAGATGTTGAACAGTGACTCTTGTTTCAACATGCAGCGAGGATGAGCTGATCTCTTTTGCAACCAGGCTTCTCTATCAAGCCAGCGTCTGCTTTAAAAGTTCATACTGAAGACGTGAGCATGAAGATTTTACTGTTCTCACTAAAAGCAGTTTGGTTTCTGAACATACAGAAGAACTAAGACCTTTTTTGAAGGAATGTTCTATTTTTACCCTGGAAGAGATGCAAATAACTGAAAGAGGTAAAGAAAAATACAAGGCTTTCCCCATATATTCCAAAACACCTCTAACGCCTTTTCTTACTGTTTATTATCTTCCTTGAAAAATCTCAGTCACTCTTTCCATTTCAACCAAAACAAGTCAAACAGCACAGTACACCAGGCTGCAAGCTTTTAAGTTCTTGTTATCTTAGTGTTTTTTTTGCAACAAGGAAAGGAGGGAGGGAGAAATAGGGCAATACCAGAAATTTTATGAATCGACTTTTTTTTTTTCCCTCTCCTGTACCCTGCAAAACACACAATGCTACACACCGGTACTTGAACCACACCAAAAGATCACAGGTGTGTGTGCAAATGCAACACCTATGAAAATTCCTTTTTCCTCTTCTAGCGTTTTCCTTCTTCTGCTTCACTCTGTCCCTCTTTAAATCCTTAGCAGTCTTCCTATCACAGAGAACAAAATTTGTATCACATCTCAGAAGTAAGTAAACTTGACCAGGCGCTGAAGAGTGGTATGCAAATCACATCAAGAAGTACAGGGCGAATTTGGGAGCTGGTTTGCAGTTAATCTCACAGTGCAAAGTGTTGATTTTGGTCTGCAAACCTATGTGGTATTCAGCTTTTAGCACCTACCTGCCTCATCTTGTGACAGTAGGATCTTTCAATGTGGAAACTGTATTTTTACTTTTGCACAAATGCCGCACAAGATTAAGACTTGGATGGTCTCACTTATCTATGGATACTTGAGCACTGCCACAGCATGTTTATCAATCAGTCTAATTTTCACTTATTAACTGAGCAGCATTTCTTTGCCCCAGCTGATTGTTCTTCAGTGAACCATCTCACTAAAACCCTGGTACAGCTGGGGAGCTGTAATGAAGTTGCAGAGAGGGCAGTTGTGTGTGTGCTGCAGAGAGGAGGCCAGCAGGCTGAGCTAGAATGAAGCATTAATAAGGAAACAAGTGAAAAGATGGAATGCATAAAGACTGAAGCTTGTGGCTTGTGTAAAAGTGTGTGTGGTTCCAAGGACTAATCCTTATTTTCTACCTAAGATCCTAAGCTTAGGTGTTCTTACTACCTACCTAAGCATGCCTCTTCTCATGCATTCATGCAGGCTGTCTCAGAACAGGAACTGCTAATTCTGCACCCAAATTAAACAAGTTTTGGCTATGCTAGCAACAGTTGCCTATCAATTGTGTCTGTGGAAACCTTCCATAACCTATTTCTTAAAGAGTCATTCACCAATTTACTGTAACCACTACTGTTAATTTCTACAAGCATGAAATACTAATGTCAGCAACATCAGCACCAGGTGTTAAATACCACTATCTGATGTGCACAGCTAGGATATAAAATGATAGTTTATGTCTTCTAACTGAAGAACTAAGAATGAATTGATAAAATTGAATTGAGATGGAACATATGGTAAAAATGAAGTGACAGTAGCTTTGTGTGGCACTTTGCTAACACATCCCTGCTGTACAATAAGACTGCTAACATAAATCTCAATTAAAAGGTATAAGCGGACATATTTTATCTTGCATCCTTGTACCACATTCAAGGACAAATAGGTGAACTGAGATCTTAAAGATTATTTTTTGCAATCCTGGTAGCACTAATTAGGTGCCCCTCACCTTCTGTAGCTATGACTGTAAGATCAGGAGGTTCAGCAGAAGCTGAAGTATTTCCTCACTAGGACAGGTTTTGCAATTTAAGAGCTAACAATTCAGCACAAACTGTGCAAAGCTATGCAGTTCAGAGACAAGTCTGTGCATATGAAACAGTAGTTGCCTTAACTGCAGCATCTAATAGTGTAAAAGATCTTGTCTTGGTAAGCTAAACAAACCAAAGACGAAAAGAAGATGCAACTGCACTTCAAAACTGCAAGTGGAACCAGACAGAGAGAAGGGAGAACTACCTACACTGAAGAACAATACTGACATGAGAAGGAAAGAGACATGTAAATGAACTGACCACCAGAAAACTTCGGCTGGAAGTTAAAGGTAACCCTTTACTTAAAGGTAACAGATTTGCTTGGATTATGCTATGTGGTGTTCTGACAACCACTGCTACTAGGGAGTTAGTCTCCTATCATGAATTGAGCATAAGTACAATAGGTATTTTCCCCCAGCCCTTCTTTTTGTCTTATTTGTGAAGGATTTTCATTTTGGCATGTGGAGACAAAGCCAAACATATCTGAATGTCAAGACCTGCAGGCATAGTTAAGAGATGTACTATATTTTGAAAAACTACAATTAAAAAATATCCAATTTCTGATTTATATCACTGCACTGTTTGTGGCAGGCTTTGTTGAACCAAAGTATTACTTTTTTGGAGTATGATTCACTGGAAATACAAGCAGTGGCATCCAACTGTGAATTTGTTGTGAAATTCATTTCAAAATGAAAAAATTCTGTCTAGAATAGAATTTTTGTGCAGCTTTCTCTGTGACTGTTCAGCAGCCCACACAATTACAGTTTTTGGGACACCATGCTGCCAGTCCTATTATACAGCACTGAAAGCTAATGCACCATATAACTGTAGGTTGCAACTATTAAGCTAATCAAGTGAAACATAACATTCATAAGTCTAAAATACCTCTTATTTAGCATATGAAGCACAAACACAATGTCTTTCCATATCTTCTGACAGAAATGTGTTAAGGAATGTCTCAACAAGCCTTTGCAATTTCTCTCAGGAAAGCATTATTATTCTGTTACAGCATAAATGCATTCCACTCGCACTCTATTCTTAACACCAAAGACTGATTTGCTGGAATTCTATCTGCCACTAACAAAGCCCCAGTACTGGGCTAAACGAAAATGGATGGGAAGACTTACGACATAAAAATGAGAGAAATGAAGGACAGTTTCAGCTATCAACTATCACAATGGCTGTGATACAGCTTTTTGAAAAAACTTTGAAATAGCATGTTCCAATTCTGGG